CCGGGCCAACGCCCCCTCCATGCCCTCGCCCGTACCAGCTCTGCTCCAGGGACGGGGACTCCCAGCTCCTCAGGCGCCCTCGGGGCCTCCAGGCCGGGTGGGGGGCCAGGAAACAGTTCTCTGAGGCACACGCCCTCCTCTCCCACCTTCCTCCTGAGCTGAGGGTGCGCAAGCCCCTTACCCCCAACCAAAAAAAAAAAAAAAAAAAAGAGCTGGAGAAGGCTGGTGGGGCTTCTCAAACGCTGCCCGCTCCTAAAACAATTCTTGCTTGGGGTCACCTCCCACCTGGTGGCAGCCAGGGAAAGGGGAAAGAAGAGGGCAATGGAAATGCCGGCCAGCCCCAGAGGGGCAGGAGGAGAGAGCCACAAAGCCCTAGCTCTGGGCCAGGGGCTAAGGGGGGCTGCTGGGACCAGACTGGGTCAGGGCCTTGGGTGCTGCCAGCCTCCTCCCCGCTGGGCTTCCGCAGAACTGGGACACTCACCTCAGGGGCTACCCCATCCTTCCACTCTGCTTCTCCCCCCAGATCAAAGCACCCTCCACGGTTGCCGGGGCCTGGCTGAGTGCCTCTAGCACCCTTTGTGCCACCAGACAGTCCCAGGAGGGGCAGCAAGGTCAGACCATTCATTTAAAGCCGTGGCCAGGGGATAGGGCTGTGAACTGAAGGAGTGACAGGTATGTCACAACACTGCCTAAGGCTCTCCCTCTCAATGCTGGGACCCTCCCCCAACTCCCAGTAGCAGCCAAACCAGCAATATCCGACACAGGCCCCCTAGGGGACAGTGTGGGTGCCCAGATACAAAATGGATATCCCCGCACCTGCAGTAAAGCATCTCAAAGCCAAATGCCCAATTGCATCCTGTCTGCCGCTGGGACGGTCAGAGGGTAGTAGCTGGGCAGACAGCAAAGTGGTATCATCTCGGGGTGGCAGACGTGGCCATGCCTTGGTATTACCACTCATGTGACATAGCTGCCTCTGCACAGCTGGGACAAATGTCAGGGCCAGAGCCAGGAAGGTGTAGCAGCCCTTGATCAGCTTCTCCAGAAGGTCCTGGCCCCAGGTCTTGGGGGGGGGGGGCGGTCACATGAGTACAGAGGTCAATATCTACCCCCCTTTATCCCTGAGCACCAGAAGGGGCTTTGCAACCTATGTCCCCAGGAATGACCTTCCCCTTGCTGCCCAGGTCATACTTCCGGAAGGGAGAGGCCACTCATTCCACAGGATTTCCCAACTACTCTACTCTGAAAGCAACACAGCTCTGGCCCAATATCTACTGGGTTTAGGTCCAAGAGAGGAGTCAAATGGGGTGGGGGTCAGTAGGCATTCTCCCCCAGGGAAACCAAAGGTCCCCAGTTTCCATTACCTTCCCCATGGGAAGGACCTTAGTTGCATGGAGATGAGAAGTGGGTGAGGTTCAGGTAGAAGCCACAGGGGCAGGCATCCAGAAAGAGCTCCCCCAGGAATCCTGAGTGCTGACCAGTGCCGGCAGAAATCACTTCCCCTCTGTGGTCCTGCCACAGCCGGGTAACGCCAACTATAGCAGGCAGGAGCCATAGGAAGGAAGACATCATCCGATGGAACCTGATATTCCCAGGTCAGACGTTCCCACCCCGCCCCGGTGGCCAAGGTCTTCATTTGGCCTCAGTGCGTATGACCCTATGCAGGGAATCTAGTGTGTATCACTCACCACCCTCTTACTGTGTCTGGGGAAACCAAGGCAGTGAGGTGACTTCACTCACCTAGCAATAAAGAGGGCTTTGGTGCCCTTGAGGGCACGTTATCCTCTCAGGCAGAGAGCAGGTTCCTTGCTGAATGGCAGATGGTGGCAAGCATCTCCCTCACCTGTTTCCCTGGGCCAGTCTTTCGGGAGCCAAGGGACAAGGCCTCCCCCCCAGCATGTGTGCCAAACCAGCACCTGAAATGAGGCATTTCCAGCAAGCCCCTCCACAGACACAAGAAAGGGCTCCAGTGGAAGAGCTAGCATCTCACCACCCCAGGTCCCCCAGCCTGGTCCAGGGCAGCCAGCTGCATGTGACCATTCTGTTGCCAGCTCCCCCAACATCCCTCCTGTCACCCAGGCCCCAAGACATTCAACCAACTGGACTAAAATTGCAGGCACCCAGCTTTGGGAGACCCTGTGCCACATCAGGGCTAAGCTCTCCTAGTGCCCTGGCAAAGTCTTTTTTTTTTTTTCCCTCTCCTTATTCTACTTTGCAGTCTTTTCTTTGACAGTACTCCCAAACTAGGTTGACACAGCTCCAGTCCACACCAGCATACCAGGCTTCCTCCCCAGGGCAGTGCAGAGGAAGCTCCTTCTGGGCGAGGTCAGGCAGTCCTCCTTCCCTCTCCTTCCCCCTTGTCCTGGCCTCAACGGACTCTGGCTGTGGAAGGTGTGGAGGGCGCTTGGGCTTCCCTCCCCAACCCGGCTTCCACTAGCACCACTAACAGGAGGCCTGTGGAAGGCTCAGCCTCTCCTCCACACCCTCCTCCTTCCTGCCTTTCGGAGGCAACCAGGGTCCCGGAGGCTGGCCCTGAATCTCATTCCTCGCTTCATGGGAGGGGGCAGGAATCCAGAGGAGGACGGAGCCAGCGGGACCACATGGCTTGGTGGCTTGGACAAACAAGCTCAGGGAGGAAATGAGGAGGTGGCGGCTGCAGAGGAATGCAACCCTGTTGGGCACTGACCATGCAATCTGGGGCTGGCCCTGGGGCCCGTTGGGCCCTGCCCTCCACCTGCTCAACCATGCTTCCACCAACCAGAGGAAACCCAGTTACTAGTTTTTCTAATAAATCAATAATGCTCCATATTTCTCTCGGTTTCTTGACTAGCCTCCTCTCCCTCTGAACAGGGTCTCAGAGGGCTGGCACCATGGAGACAGAGGGACAGCCAGACTCTCTAGCTTGTCCCTAGGAGCCTTATGGGATGACTGCAAGCACCTGGGTCCCGGAAAGCTGAGTTTTGCACTTGAAGGCTTGCTGCAGGGCAAAATCATTTCCAAGCGATGATCAACCCAGGCCCTTCCCCACAGAGCTGGGGACAGGTCTCAGCACTCGCTGGACCACAGAATCCCCAGAATCTCTAAGGCTGGGATTCACCTCCAGAGGGCAGCTTCACTTGGTCTAGGGGGATGGACTGTAAACACTGCCAGTTTCCAAAGGCTCCCCAGATGGTTCCAGTGGGCAGCCAGTGAGAACCACCGAACTGGTGCCAGGTTCCCAGACACACCTAGATGGCTATGTAAGGCCTGACTGGGGAAGGGGTTAACTGCAACTTCCTGAGCCCCACGCTCTGAAGAGCCCCAGTTGGAATTTTGGGAAACAGCAAATCATCCATCTCTTTCGGTTTATAGATGAGGAAAAAGCAAGAGCTTAGGTGACCCAGCTAGTTAATGGCAAGGCTGGGATAAGACTCGGGGTCTTGACCAGGTGCTGTGGCTCACACCTATAATCCCAGCACTTTTAGAGGCCAAGGCAGGCAGATCACAAGGTCAGGAGTTCGAGATCAGCCTGGCTAACATGGCGAAACTCCATCTCTACTAAAAATACAAAAATTAGCAGGGCATGGTGATGCGTGCCTATAGCCCCAGCTACTCAGGAGGCTGAGGCAGGAGAATTGCTTGAACCCAGGAGGCAGAGGTTACAGTGAGCCAAGATCATGCCATTGCATTTCAGCCTGGGGCAACAGAACAAGACTCCATTTTGTGTGTGTGTTGGGGGAAGAATCCAGGTCCCCTGACCCTCACACCGTCCAGTGCGCTTGTGGCTACTCAGCATTGTATCCTGAGACTGGCCTGGCAGGAGCCAGTGACTGTGGAAATGACCACAGACGATTCAGGGCAGTTGGCAGATCTTCCCTTGACCTTGTAAGACTCAAGGGATCTGTCTTCAGGTTGGGTCAGAAGGCCCACAGGAAGGGCTCTGACCCAGCAGCCCTGCGTGAACACTTGCAGCTCTACCACCCAGGCCCTGCAGCCTCCGCCTCCCAGGCCCCAGCCAGAACAAATCGAGCAAAATGAGGCTGGACCACTGTGGAGAAAGGGCAGAAAACCCAAATGAAATAGGGAGGCATTCCTAACTCTTCTGGATCAGAGACACTTCTGAGAATGTGATAAAAAGAGAGGAATAAAAATGCACTTGTATTCCTCATCTAACGTTACAGACACCTTTACGACATTTCTAATCTCCAAGTTTAGAAACCTTGCCTTCAACCAGGCGAGGTGGCTCACACCTGGAATCCCAACACTTTGGGAGGCCGAGGTGGGTGGATCACTTGAGGTCAGGAGTTCGAGACCAGCCTGGTCAACATGGCGAAACCCTATCTCTACTAAAAATACAAAAAATGAGCCAGGCATTGTGGTACATGCCTGTAATCCCAGCTACTCAGGCGGCTGAGGTAGCAGAATCGCTTGAACCTGGGAGGCGGAGGTTGCAATGAGCCAAGATGGCGCCACTGCACTCCAGCCTGGGCAACAAGAGTAAAACTCTGTCTCAAAAAAAAAAAAAAAAAAAATCCTTCCATTCAAGGATGTTTCCTGGGAACTGGAGAGAGGCATATAGGACACCCACCAGATACTGGGAATGGCTGCTCATGAGAAAAACAGTCTATCCACCTCACCACCTCCCTTTTTTAAGTCCAACTCTGGCCCTTGGGGAAAAGAGCGAAAGGCTGGCACGTGGGACCCCCTACCTCAGACAGGATAGCAGTCTGCTGCTAGACAGAGAAGCCCATGGGAGTCTAAGTGGCAGAGAGTAAGCTCCCACCCTCACATCCTCCTGTCCCACCTCCCTCACCACTACTAGGGTGCCTTATGTTTCATGAGCCCGGGTGACCAGTGAGTGTGGAAGGAACGACTTCCAAGTCTCCATCTCCCCAAGACTTCCCTGCCCCACGAACTGCCTCCCCTGCCCCACGAACTGCCTCCCCTGGCCCACGAATTGCCTTCCCTGGCCCACGAATTGCCTTCCCTGCCCCACCCAGGCCCAGGAAGCAGTTCACACAGAGTGGGTTGGTCAGCAGTGGTTATTGCACCATTGGTAAATAATGAAATGTGTGCACATCAGCGACAACCACAGGGTCCGTGCAACAACCCTCAAAAGTACCTGAACTGAATCCATTTCATTCTTGGCAGGAGGGGAATAAACAGGGGCCACACGCTCACGTACACGCACATCATACCACGGAATGGAAAGCAATAAATTATCGGCTTCATTCCTGCCTGGGCCCTAAGAAAAGGTACAGTTACAGAGCAAAGCCTCTCCAGGCCACTGCCTGAGTCTCCCCGGGGGTGGGCTCCTCTGTCTGGCCGTGGCCATGGCCAGTCAATGCCAGAGGCCTGAGCACAGCTTGCTCTCTCTGGGAAGAGGTGAGCTTAAATATTTGGCTTCTTACTAGAGAAGAACTATTTACAAGGGAAGCGGCCACACCGGCCTCACAGGTGAGTGGCTCATCTGGGCCTATGGAAGGTTGCCCCGAGCCCCAGGGGAGCACCAGCATGTGGCACAGGCAGGAGAGCCCCTGCACACGGGAGCATCCTTTCCAGAGGGCGCGGGAGACAGCCTTTCCACCCGCCCAGGGGTCTTGGGCAGGGGCTCCATGAGCCCAGGGAAGGATGCGCAGGTTCGCCAACGTGACTCCTCCCTCCTCCTAGAGTCAGCATCAACCTACAGAGTTCAAGGCCTGGAATTTCTCTCTCAGGTTTCTCACTCTGCCCTGCTGGCTTGGGTCTGCTGGGTCCCTGGGACCCTCTTCTTTCAGCTGACACTCTGCCGACTCTTGGAAGTCCTGGCCCTGCCCTACCAGGGCCACTAGCGAGCTTGGTCCCTGGCCACTGCTCTCCTCCAGCCCCGCAGTGGGGCCAGGAAGGGGTGCCTTCTCCATGACAATCACCCGCTGGTTGTCCTCCAGGGTGAGGTCTGCAGTGACATACAGGGCCTCGTCTCCGTCCGGCTTGCTCTGAGACAGAGGCCCAGGGGACTGGGTGGCCTCTCCGCCTCCCCGGCCCCTCTTGGTGTTCAGGCTGCAGCAGCGGCCCACCCTGCCCGACAGAGGTGGCTCCACCATGTTCTCTGGCGCTGAGCGGCTCCTGTTGACGGGTGGGCCTCGGGGCCGGCCACCCCCTGCTCGGCGTGCCTCATCGTGCGAGGCATACTTGGAGCAGAGCTCGCGGACGTCGGGCCAGATGAAGGTCTCCGTGTCGAAGGGGCTGAGGGGGCTCCGGGCGGAGGGCCGGCCCCCAGGCGAGGTGGTCCTCTGACGAACGGCGGACGGGCTGAAGGAGAAACGCCGTGGCGACGTGTCCCCAGCCGAGGAGGGCCTGGGAGGGCTGTACTCCCGGGCCATCTGCTGGTCACAGTCGTGGAGAGACAGCGCTGGCTTCCTCTTACCTGCAAGGAGAGAGTGAGCTGCCTGAAGCCCGGGTCAGGAAGGCTCTCGGGGCAGGAGGGCCCCCAACTCACTTTCCAGGCAAGGCTGGCTGTTGGGGTTTGGGGTGCGATAGGAGAGAAATCTCATTTGCCATCCACAGCCCCTTTCGTGAAGGGCCACGGGAAGAATGAAGAAAAGGCGGTGGAAGGGGCTGAGGAGTCAAAGGAAGAGGGGAAAACGTCCGCCCCCATCCTGGCAAGGAGGGGCCTGGGCCACGCTTCCTCCAAAAGCCTCTGCTGGACGGGAAGGGCCAGAGTAGAGGGCATCGGAAGCACTGGCTTCAGAGCACTGGACTGGTTGCCAGGGCTCACCCTGTGCCCTTGGTGCCCAGGATCCAGCTTCTCCCTTTGGTAAAGCTCCTTAGAGGTCACTTTCTCCCAGGGGCCAACTGGCTCCTTCCTGGCTCTTCAGTCCCTAGACCTGGGGAAGGGCCCACCTGCCACTCCGGTCATACCTTTGCCGCCCAGTGACTCTCCAGCCTCCTCCTGCAGACAGGGCACAGTGGGGCTCTTCCCGTCCCTCTCAGGGGCCGCCTTTTCCCACAGCAGTGGTGGCCTGGCCATCACTGGCTTGTTGCTCTTGATCCGGAGGCTGTACTGGCGGGCCAGCTGATAGACCTTGTTCTTGACGCACTCACTCGTGTGGCTGTCCATCATGTGGGAGAGCTGCATGATGCGGGGGTGCAGTGGGGCCACCAGCTGTCCCTGGGCACTGCTGCTCAGCTCCTTCACCAGCTCTTTCAGCTCACGGGCCAGGTGGGCCGGGCTGCGCCCCTCAGTGGGAGAGGCGCTTTCCGGGGAGGCTGTGGCCGACTCCTCCGTGATGGCTCCCAGCTCGTGCTCCTCCAGGATAAAGAGCGGCTCGTGCAGGTCAAAGCCATTGGCCTGGCCCTGGCCTGGTCCCTTCCCAGAGCTCCCCCCAGATGCCTCCATTCCCTCCCAGATCTTAACAATTTCTGAAGAGGGACGGAACTCAGCATCTGTGATGGGAGGTGGGTCCCCTGTGCCCGCCTGGCTTGGTGCTGGGAGCTCAAACAGGGCCCACGAAGTCGGCCGGGAGCCCACCTGTCTCTTGCGCCCCACTGGAGCTACCGGCTCTGGGTCTGGCCGGGGCAGGCTGTTGAACCTGGAGACTGAGTTTCTCACCAGTCCTTTGGGGATGTAGGAGAGGCTCTCCCGGCGACGGACGCTGAAGCCCGCATCGTGGTGCTCCGCGTTTTCGTAATAGCTCTTAATCCTGTCCAACAACAGCCGGTCTCGGGTGGAGAGCGCCGATTCCTTCTTGCAGGAAGACCGGTCGGGCTCCACTGGGCAGCCTGGGCTTGGGGACTCCACCCCATTGACAGAAGGGCTGTCCTCTGTGGCCACCCCCACACCGATGTCCACTTCCGGGGAGAGCTGACAGCTGAGGGAGTCTGTGGTGCTGCCATGCCGGGCCAGGCCCTTCTCACTTCCCTCCAGACTGAGCACGCTGCTGCTCCGGCTGACCAGCCGCGGGCTCCCAAAGCCACTGGACTTGCTGTCCTCCAGCGCCACGCTGCTCCGCCGGGAGAAGCTGCTGACAAACCGCTCTGCAATGACGCTGGCCTGGTCCAGCACAGAGGGTGGCAGGAGGCTCTCAGGCTCCTGGGCGGCACCCCCCATTTCTTCCTCCTCCTCACTGCTCAGGGCCTTAAGGTCCTCAGTGCTCTCAGCTGCCATGAAGTCCACCATGTCACCCGGGGTGTCCATCCCCAGAAGCCCCTGGTGGGAGTCAAGCTGTGTCTCCAGGACTTCTGGAGATTCTGTGTCTGAAGGCATCTCCTCGGCACTGGGCCCTTCCACAGCAGCAAATACCTCCTGCTCGCTCCCAGCCTCGGAGTCCGGCTCAACCTGAAACACAGCAGAAAAAGCTCACATGAATAAAAAGCCTCCTCCATGGGACCTAGGAGACAAGGGGACAGCATGGCCTGCTCAAGGCCCAGTGACAGGGACCTGCAGTTTAGGGGACCCAAGGCAATCAGAACAAGCACGTCTGAGGAGTAGGGCCTTAAGTCCTTAGAGACAGGAACATGCCTGCGTCCTTTTAGTCACCCTGCAGCGGGGCTGCTGGGCCCATGTCCTCAAAACCAAGGAAAACACGAAGAGTGCAGATGAGGCAGGATGGAGATGTCTGGGTGGCAGCCAGCCTGGGAACTACAGGGACAAGGTGGGAATACACAAGAGTGGGTTGCTCACCACCCCCGGTTCCCAGGGGCTGGTTCTCACGGTGCCATGGAACCAGCATGGCCGAGGGTGAGGCAGTTCCCTGAAGCCCTGGAGTCTCCTCACTTGGAGGTTCTCGGCTTCAAACCCAGACCCATGCAACATGAGAGGCCATTTCTATTTTTCTCAAGGGACAGGCCCTCTGATGTGGATTAGGGTCTAGAGAGCGACACAGCCACATACTGGAATCCCGTCAGAGGACGAGGACCGGGAATGTGGCTCCTCCCACACCTGTGGGCCCAGCACAACTGCATATGCCCAGGAAATGGGCAAGGAAGAAAGCAAACTTGACAATTCGCTCTTGACCACCTTGCAGGTAATTTGAACCACAAAACTGGCTGACACACACAGTTTTCCAGGGTGGTCTTTAGGGAGATGATAAGAGCAAACACTGAATTCTGAGATCGGACCTAATTCCATCTGTTCTAGTCCAGAATCTGCAGAGCAACACCCACGCTCTAGACTTGCACTGTTCAACATGGGAGCCACCAGCCACTGTGGCTTTCTGAGCACCTGAAATGGGGTTAGGCCAATGGAAACCTGCTCTTGGGCTATAATACACATCAGATTGCAAAGACTCCGTATTAAAAAAAGGGATAAAACATGTCAATAACTTTTTATGTTGATTACATATTAAAATTTAATATTCTATATATATTGGGTTAGATATACTACTAACATTTCATCTGCTTCTTTTAAACTTTTTAATGGGTGGTTCTCATTCTGTTATTATTGGACACCCCATTTGCTGTGGTCTGAATGTCTGCCTCTCTTTTTTTATGTTTTTCTATATTTTTTTATTTGTTTGTTTCTTTTATCTTTTTATGTCTGTGTCTCTAAAATCGATACGTGTTGGTCGGGCACAGTGGTTCACACCTGTAATCCCAGCACTTTGGGAGGCTGAGGTGGGCGTATCACCTGAGGTCAGGAGTTCAAGACCAGCCTGGCCAGCATGGTGAAACCCCATCTCTACGAAAAATACAAAAAATTAACTGGTCATGGTGGTGCACGCCTGTAATCCCAGCTACTTGGGAGGCTGAAACAGGAGAATCGCTTGAACCTGGGAGGCAGAGGTTGCAGTGAGCCAAGATCATGCCATTGCACTCCAGCCCAGGTGACAGTGCAAGACTCCATCTCAAAAAAAAAAAAAAACAACCAAAAACCAACAAATAAATAAAATTGGTATGTGGAGGATAACACCCAGTGTGATCGTAATGAGGGGTGGGGCCTTTGGGAAATTAGATCATGAGGGCTCCATTCTCATGAATGGGGTCAGATCCCTTACCAAAGAGGCTCGCGGGAGCTTCCTTGCCCCTTTGCCACATGAGGACACAGCAAGAAGCCACCATCTACAAAGCAGAGGGCAAGCCCTCAACAGAGTCTGCTGGCATCTTGACCTTAGAATTTCCAGCCTCCAAAACCGTGAGCAATAACTAAGCTACCCAGGTAGCAATAAAGGATTCTGTTACAGCAGCTCAAGCCAAGACATCAAGCTACATTCCTATCCAGTATCATCCAGGCTTCTCAGTCCTGGCTGTGGAGTCCAACATGGGGTCCAGGCCATAGCTCACGATCTTTCCCTTATAACTGGGAAAGTGAAGGACTCTGCTTTCCACAACCTACAGACAGCATAGGGCAGGAGGAGGAGAGTGGGCCTCCGAGTCTGAGCCCCAGGTCTGATCTTGGCCCCGTCCCTCAGAAGCTGCTCAGCATCAGGCACACCATCAACCTCTCGCCATCGGCCCCTGGGAGCCCTTTCCTTCTAGAGTCGTCGTGGCAAAGAGAAGGAATAAATAACATCACTGACGGAGGAGGTGTCCAATAGATAGCAATTCCCTACCCTTTGCCCAGGTGACCACAGGTGTGATTTCAATGTCTGGCAGGCTGGCAGGGACAGGCCTTGTAACCCATACAAGGTGGCCTAGCCAAGGGAGCTAATATCTGGTTCATTTCCACCAGCTGTGTGCCCTTGGCCGTAGGACTGCATGTGCCTTTTTCTAATTCATTGAAAGGGGTGGTCAGCTCACCACACCACACACCCCCAGGCCAAATGGGCTTCCAGCAGGGCTGAGAGTCCTGGGAGGTGGGGAATCTCTGTTCCCACGGGCTCAATGGGAAGAGCCTACGCCTGAAAGCCCTACTTGCAGACTTGGAAATCTGGACTCCAAGCACTTCCTACTATCCCCATGCCACCTGCTGGTCGCTCACCTCTGGCAGGGAAGAAGCGGACTCAAAGCTCATGCACTTCTCAGCACTGGTTGGAGACTGGCCACTGGGCCTTCTGCTGCTCCTGGAGCCTTCAGACTCCCTGCGCCCCTTTCCCTGCAGAGGCAGAGTCAGTCATCAACTCCAAGATAACTGGAAGCTGATCCCTTCTGCATCCCAACATGGGCAGTGCCTCCCACACCCCAAGGGGTTGGGCTGAGCTAAGAGCCAGCCTTGGACCCGAGCCATTCCAGAGCCAACCTGAACCGCCAGGCCTGGGGCTGCAGAAAGCCTTGTCAGGCATGTGGCTTCAGAAAAGCCCAGCCCACCTTTCTGTCCAGACAAAGTGGACTCGACCATTCCAGCCCCACTGGGAGCTGGCTTCTCCCCACCCCCATTGCCCCACCCCACTTATCATGCTTGTTGGGCGTTATACTGATTAGTGTCCAGTACTGGAACAGAGCATGCCAGGGGCTCACCAGGGTGTGACAGCGAGCGAGGGGATTAAGAAGTGCTGAGGGGAGGAGTAAAACCAGGGCAGGGTAGGGTGTGGAGGGCAGCAGAGGGGGTCCTTGGGTGGGCATGCACATGCCAGGGAGCATGCAGGGAGGAAGGGAGCTCGAAGAGACACCTCACCATAGCGCCCCGGGAGAAAAGTAAAGCGTTGGCCCGATAGTGCCAGCAGTGGAGGGCGGCCAGCAAGGAGCTGGCAAAGTCGGCTACCTGCTCCGCCACCGCCAGGCTCTCCTCCTGCTCCTCCTCCTCCTCTGAGCCTGGGGGTTCCGGCCCAGACCCCTTCTCGTTGCCTTCATGCCCTGCCAGATCCTCCAGAGAGACCTGAAAGGCCTGCTCTTCCTCCTCCTCCTCCTCCTCCTCCTCTTCCACCACCTCCTCCTCTTCCTCCTCCTGAGCAGCCCCTTCAGCCTCCGGCTGCAGGCCCTGACTACCGGAGGGCTGCCCAAAGTCCAGGAGGGTGCCAGCACTGCCTGCATGCTGTTCAGAGCACAAGAGCCCCTCGTGACCAGCATCTTGGGCAACCTCCCCTCCTCCTGCAGGCAGCTGGGGGTGGGGATGCTTCACACAGAAAGTCACATCTAGATGCCCAACTCAGGTCTCCAATGGGGTCCAGGAAGGAGTGGGCATTATGGTAGAAAGGCTGGGATCTTGTAGAAAAAATTCAGAACCCAAAGAGGCCTGCCTGCCTGTCTACCCTAGAGAGAGGGAAATCTGAGCAGGTCCACGCTGGGCAGGACCTCAGCAGGGTGCTGTTCTAGGAAGAGGGTGCCAAAGGGTCCCCAGGGCAAGGCCCATGTCTTATTCGTCTCTGTGGCCCTATGCCACAGAGCCTGTTACACAGTAGGTGATTAGTAGGCATTTGTTGAATGAATGAAGACAATGAGGGCTGACGGGGCCAGAGGGATGACCCGGGCAGTCCCACCCGCCTCTGTTAGCCAGTCCCCTCCTCCCACTGGCCTTTACCTTCATTCCTGCTGCTCGGGCTGCGGACATCGCCGCCAGGTCCCCAGCACACGGGCGAGGGGCAGAGAAGAGGAAGAGATCAGTAAGCAGGAGACAGACCTCTGTACAGCCCCGTGGGGAAGGCCTCTCTGGGGGCTCCTGCTCCTAGAACCCTCACCTAGTCTCTTGGGCTTTAAAAAGAATCACTGACAGATCAGGAGACCAGGGTCGCAGAGCAGTGCAGGTCTGTGCCCGCTATTTCCCGAGGAAAGGGCAAGAGCCCTGTGCATTGGGGAGAGCTCCAGCCCCTCTCCTCAGACAGTCAGGGATGAGGCCCTCTTCCAGAGGGAACGGAGGCAGAGTCCCCTCTATACTATTCTGACAATCCCCCTGCCCCCAGGTCACACCGCAGGCTGCCCACTGCTTCCGCTCCTCCTCCCCCACTCACCGGAATGGCTGGCCACCCTCACATACTCACCTTTCTCGTTGAGTTGCCTGAGCAGGTGTTTTGTCGGTTCTGAGGAGGAAAGCATGGGCAGAGTCAGTGCAGGCCAGGAAACTGCCGTGCCTGACTGGGTCCCAAGCCCACAGTGCCACCAGCCCATCACCAGCTTAAAGTCCACTCTGCCTTGGCCCCCGGCAGCCGTAAGGCTCCAGGGAGGCTGCCTTCCACAGTGTCACCAAGCCCCCTTGCACCTACTGGACAGGGAGATGGGCCCATCCAGCTCAGGGACCCCTAATGTGACTGCCAGCCCTGCAGCGCTGCCCATGATGCAATGCATTAGCGCACCTGGCCCAGGGCCCTCATGCAGGAGCCATAGGGAGGGGACAGAGCTCCATGCTGCCCCCTTCAGACCAACTAGCAACATCTCTGGAGGAAGGTTCCTGGCTCCACCTCAAGCCTCCTGCCTCCCTGGCAATAAGCTATCAGCAGCGCATCAGCTATACCCACTGCCAAGCCCCGTCACAGCACCCCAGCCGGAAAGCAGAGGTCGCACCCGACTTTCTACGGCCCTTAAGGCCTGGCATCACGAAGCCTCGCTGCCTGCTGGGGAGAGTTGCCCGAATATACGGAGAGTGACCAGGCTCTGGGGACAGAATACAAAATACATCCGTTAGGCTGATGGTGTCGTCACCTTGTACCCAGCCTTTCTGGGGACACACCTGAGCCTGGAGGGCAGGAATAAGAGGACCTTGTCTCGAGGTCCAGCTCTACAGACCCTCGACCTTCGCCTATCTATATCCTTGCCCAGCCCGGCTGACGGTAAGTGGGAGGCCCAGGGATGGCCGCGATTTGCTACACACTTGGAGTCAGAAGGAAAGTCTACCAAGGTATCTTGCTGTTCCTCAGCAGGAGGGCCTACTGAAGAAATTCTTTTCTGCTGATACACACACACACAACATGCATACACTATCTGTATCAATGTGTAAGTAAATGCCTATTTTTAAAGTGAGAAGTAGAAAATATTCTTTCATTTCAAAACTTTTCAATATGGGATAAGTGACACATCATTTAAATTAAATGATAGACCTTAATTATCCATAGAGTATACTTGTTAGCCCATCTCAGCTCTCTGAGTGGGAAGCAGAAGCAGAAAGGGCCTCAAGGAAGTCGGAGCGGAGGGCTGAGCCCAGGCAGTAGAGTGCCCGCAGGTGGCCCAAGCCCCTCCCCCGGGACTTTCCTGGTCTTTTTGTGGTCTACAGTTCCCACAAGTCCAATAGATTGACTCATTTGATTTCTTTCTTTCTTTCTTTTCTTTTTTGAAACAAGGTCTTGTTCTGTCACCCAGTTTGGGTACAGGGGCATGATAACCACTCACTGCAACCTTTGCCTTCCAGGCTCAAGTGATCCTCCCACCTCAGCCTCTGGAGTAGCTAGGACTACAGATGCATACCATCATGCCTAGCTAATTTTTTAATTTTGTAGAGACGAAGCCTCACTATGTTGTCCAGGCTGGTCTTGAACTCCTGGCCTCAAGTGATCCTCCTACCTCGGCCTCCCAAGGAGCTAGGATTACAGGAGTGAGCCACCATGCCTGGCCTGAACAATCACTTTCTAATAGACAGGAGGGGAAGAGGGGCTACTACAGACAAACATGCTTAGACTGATGAGAACAAACATTTCAGTGTTACAGAAGAATCATGAAGAGGGGCATGGCACATCAAATGCAGGCTGTCTCTATGGCAACCCACAGCTTCTGGTGCCCCTCAAGCATCTGGCAGTTCACATACCCTAAGTGAGGCTGTAGCACCGACTCCAGAAAAGGAAAGGTTCAACTGCAGGCAGCACCCATGTTAAACTTTCTAAAGTTTAACATGCTTTAGAAAGATGTCTATTTCAACCAGGCATGGTGGCTCACGCCTGTAATCCCAGCACTCTGGGAGGCCGAGGTGGGCGGATTACCTGAGGTCAGGAGTTCGAGGCCAGACTGGCCAACATGGTGAAACCATTACCACTAAAATACAAAGAAATTAGCTGGGCATGGTGGTGTATGCCTGTAATCCCAGTTACTCAGGAGGCTGAGGCAGGAGAATCGCTTGAACCAGGAGGTGTAGGTTGCAGTGAGCAAAGATCGCACCACTGCACTCCAGCCTGGGTAACAGAGCAAGACTCCATGAAAGACAGAAAAGAAAGAAAAGAAAGAAAAGAAAAGATGTCTACTTCATAACAGTTAAAACAAAAAAATTTTTAAATCTTTTTTGAAAAAATCCAACTCTTAGTATTTACAGGCTAAAAATCTCAGCCTTTTGGAAACTTCAGCTCTCTAAAATGGCTCATTTCCTGAGTGCCTTGGACAACTAAAGTTTGGGGATTTTTGGTAACAGCTTTATTGAGATATAATTCACATACGATTCACCTATTTAGAGTGTATAATGTGATGGCTTTAAGTAGAGTCACAGAGTTGTGCATCCATAGCTAAAGTTTTGACACTGACATTAGGATAGAGCTACTATCACTGCCACCAACATTATCCGTTGCTGAACACATCCATGTGATAGAAGCTTCCAATTTTAAGGTACAGCAAGTTAAGGAGGACAAGCAGAGAATTACAGGAGAAAAAAAAGAAAAGGAAATAAAGAGGGCTAGAGAGAAGAAGGCAACACCCCCCCACACATTTGGGACTTTTAACCATAAAACTTTTGCAACCATAGCAAGGTGGCCTAGGGCTCAAGATCCATCCAGAGCAATACCAACAACATAAAACCACAAAAGCTTCCTATAAGCCACTGCTCCACCTTCCAGAAGGCTAACGCCCACATATCAATCCACCCACGTGTTCAGGGAACCCACGGGTCATCACCAATCAAAACCCAACATACTTGTGGACCCAAGCCAAGACACTGCTCTCAGTCACTTTAGAATCCTTCTCTCCCGGGGTCTGAAAGACAATTCTCACCCCAACTCCCACCTTGGGGATGTTTGGCAGACACCTGGCTTACGCCGGACCTGTCCTTGGGCCTCGCACTAAATAGCAGTGAAAAATACCAATGTAGAAAACACACACACTCATCACCACAGAGCTAAGAATAAAAGCAAGGTTTTCTCCTTTCAAATAGACGATTCATTCCAATAATCCAAGAACACACTAGCAACTCCAGGAATGGAAGAAAACCCAGGAGAGGAAAACGGAACTTTTTCCTGAGACCCAAAGTAAATATTGCCTGTCTGGGTTTGGTGCCACTGAAGTCTAACTCGTTTTCTCCAGATCCTGCTTCTGCTGGGTTGTTCCAGAACTGGGATGGGGCCATTCGTGATGTCTGAGTGTCACTCCTGAATGACTTGGGGTTGGTATTCCCGAGCGGCAAAGGAGGGAGGGGGTAAGAAGGGGTGCCAAGGCCCGAGGGAGCAAGTATTTCTAGGGCCTTGAAAAAGGTGGGCTGGACAGGTGCAGTGGCTCACACCTATAATCCCGGTACTTTGGGAGGCCGACGCAGGCAGATCACCTGAGGCAAGGAGTTCGAAACCAGCCTGGCCAACATATAGTGAAATCCCGTCTCTACCAAAAAATACCAAAATTAGCTGTGTGTGGTGGTGCATGCTTGCAGTCTCAGCTACTTGGGAAGCTGAGGCAGGAGAATTGCTTGAACCCAGGAGATGAAGGTTGCAGTGAGCCAAGATCAAGCCACTGCACTCCAGCCTTGGTGACAGAGCAAGACTCAGTCTCTCAAAAAAGAAAGAAAGAAAGAAAGAAAGAAAAGGTTAGCTACCCAGACCGGTTGGGTAGCAAGGGCCCAGAGGCACCTGGTGTGGGCAGCACTAGCAAAGGGAAAGGATGCGCCCCATGTGTGCACCCAGCCCCACTCTAGCCTTTCCCAGGGTTTCCACAGAGGTGAGAGCCAGCCCTGGAGACTGCTGAAGGCAGTCCCCAGCCTGGGCAAGGGTGCGAAAGAGAGGCTTCCTGCTTCCACAGCCCTTCTCTTACCAGATTGCCGGCGGCCCTGGCGCACATGGGTGGACACCTCGTCCTGGGAGGACCATGCCTTCTTCAGCCGCTCTGGGCTGTAGCGGTACCGATTGGGATCTGCACCCAGGAGAGAGACCATCAAGCTTTTGGCTCCCAACGGGCCTTGGCCTACTCTCGACCCTGTCCATGCCCAGCAAGACCTCTGCACCCACCCAGCTCCAGGACCAGGAGCCTCCAGAGCGCCTTCCATCTTCCATCTGGCAGCTTCAGGCACTGAGGGTCCCACCGCTCAGCAGGAAAGCGTCCCTAATCATGTAGTTAAACCCCGCCCTTAACGGGAGACCCCCATCCTCCCCCTCCTGGAATAAAATGATCAGGTAAAGCTTCCCCAGAATGCAGCCTGACCTAGCAATGTGCACAATTAGGGACAAAGCAGGCAGAAGAGAGCGAACTTACAGTAGGAATCCATTTCCAGGATGGCTTCCTTGGCCTGAAGGAGAAGGCAACACACTATTACCTTTCCGTGGGTCGGCCTCCCCTGCCCACAGGACCCACCGTTGCTGTACAAGGAAGACGGCCTGCAGTGCTGCACCAAGGCCTGGGGCATCTGCCATACTGACACCCACTGTCCCGTGGAGCCAAAGTCCAGAACACGAGTCCCCAACGGACCCTGCAGAGCTGGCTCAGAGGAGCAAATTCTGCCTGCACCCAGTCAGGAGCTGGAGGAGCTCACCTTCTGTGGAATGGTGGCATGGTGGTTCTCTAGGATGAGCCTCTTGATGTGGTGAGTCCAGTTCCGTTTCTCTTCCACTGTCTTGGCCTAGGAGGATCCAAGGGAAAGGAACCAATCCAGGGGTTATCAATACAGGCCTGAAGGTGTCTAGCATGGACAGTGCTTCTGCCCAGGAAGAAAAAGTGGGGCCACGCTGGGGCCTTTGTGAGGTTAGCCTGACTCCTCGCTTCGACCCTGAGAGGTGCCTGCAAAGATCCCTGCCTTACAGATGGAGACACTGGGGCTTGGGGCAGCTAGGTGAGCAGAGGAGTCAGGAGTCCCGTGCAGGTGTCCCCTGGGCATCTTGTTCCCTCGCCCCTGCGCCCCACCTGCCCCTCACCTGGATGCTGTACTGCTGCTTACTGTGCTTGTAGTGGGTGACGGTGAAGCACAGGGAGTCCCTGGTGCTTTCGATCAGCATCAGGGAAGAACACTGTGGGCAGAGGGAAAGGACAGTTAAGCACAATGTTGGGGGGCCCATCCCCTCAAGACAGCCTGGGGAAGTAGGGAGGGAGACTCAGAAGGGTGGTGCAGGAGCCCCAAGAAGCAGAAAAGGAGGGGAGCCCAGATCCTCTGAGAAGGAGAGAAGATGGCAGAGGAGATGGGCAGGGCCTGGTTACCGGGATGTTGCCCTTGTAGACAAAGTGATCGCCACGCTTCTTGGTGATAAGCAGCATTTTGTCAAAGAGGAAGAAGGTCCTTTCATTGCGCACACGATGCACGCGGAACGTGCCCTCCAGGACGAGCTCCCCGTAGGTGGTCAGGTCGGGTCCCTTCCAGTTAATGAGGAGTGACTGAATCTCCTGCAGCAGAGGGGCCCCAACCCCTAGAGTCAGGCCACTGGGGCCTGAAGAGGCTCTGCAAACACTGCCACAAAGGCTCCCCAACGCCACCCCCCAGCTCATCCCGGAATGGTTGCCACATGCCCCTTTTCCAGCCGAAGCCCGGCCCACTCAGCCCTGCCCCTCCCCCCAGCCTCCCAGCCCCAGAGCACCTGGAGCCGGACTGCGTGCTCATGCCTCCTCTTCATGTCGTTGATGTACCAGGCCACACAGGTCATGGTGTCAATGGCATCCTCCACCACGTCAAAGCCATCCCCCTCTTCATCAAAATGCTTGGCAATTTCCTGCGCAGAAGATAGGGGCTTAGGTACCCCTGACTCGAAGGCCTGCCCTCCCCAGACCCGAGGTGTTTGGGAAGAAGGGGGAGGGGTGATGGCTACCTGGAGCAGCAGGTGGTACTTGAGGATGCGCTGGACCGGCTTCAGCAGGTAGGAGCCCAGGGGCAGCGAGTGCTGCAGCAGTTCCTGCCGGTCCCGAAAGAACTTGGCCTGCTGCTTGTCCCGCATGCATTCCGTCAGGGCGGCCACGGAGCTGCGAGTGGGAGAAGGGCCTGTCACCGCCTGGGGAAGGCCTGGATGAGGAGGTGGCGGCTCTGGACTCACCAGATGGCTCTGCCTTCCCTCCCATCCCAGTTACTCACTTGGGGTAGTTGTTGCAATACTGGGTGTAGATATCAAACTCTTGGCTCTAAGAAGAGATCAAAAACAGTGATTTCAGGGAGATTCCCATTTGACTGTAAAGATGGTGGTACCAGATAGGTCCCTAGCCCAAGAGCATACTCTGTCCCCTGCTCCCAGGTGCCTACAGAGCCATCTTTATACCTATTTGTCAAGAACATCCCATCCACCCAGCAGCCCTGGCTTCCCCCAGAACACCCTTCTTATTCAAGACAGAGCACCCGGGACTTTTCCTGGAAAGGGATCCCCCAAGACGTAGATGTCCTCTTATGCTGGCAGTTCTTGTCTCTCTGAGCTGTCAACAAGGTAAGACAGGGGCAAGGGCCCAACCCTTCTTACCCTTTCTACAAAGCAGCTGGCCACAGCCACGGGGTCACTATTGCAGCTGTCCAGGTCTCTGAGGAGCTGGCTGGGTGAGGGGAGAGCAGCCACTGTACCCTCTGCAGTCAGAGGACAAGGCCCCTCACTGCCCCCTCCCCAACCTCCCAAGCCCTGAGCCCGGACTGACAGCCAGCCCTGTCGTCATGCTAAAGAGCTGGGGCTTCCAGCCTCCTGGGAGGCAGCTAAGGGCAGAGGAAGCCCTGCCCCATGCAGCAACCACAAAGTATCCAGCACCACCACAAAGCGGGAAGCCAGGGAGACCTATGGACTCAGCAAGCGGGAGAGGAAGAGGGGACCCCCATACCCACCTCGGGAGGGGACACAGCTCCTCCGTAGGCAGAAGGAGTCAAACACACAAAAAGCAGAGGATTAAAGAGCAAAGAAGAGAGAAAGGGGACTAGCAAAGGAGCCAGGGATATGGGGAGAGACAGGTGAGTCCTGGCACCCCTAGAAACACTGCTCCCTGTCTCCTCCCTCTACGCTCCTCCTCTTTCCGCAACCCCTCACGGTTGGCCTAAGTGTTCCCTGCACCCTGCGCTCCCAGACCTCTCCAGCTTACACAGCCAGAGCTCCTTCTGCCAATCTTAAGGGGCCTGGGATATGATTCCTCCAGTCTTAGCACCGCTGTTCCCTCAAGCCCTGCCCTTCCCAAGCAGTGCACTTTCCCTGGGGAGTCCGTGGTCCCAGGCAGCAGACCCACGCCCTTTGCCCTGACACAGCCCCTGGCCAGGCCTTGTTCAGCCTCCCACATCTGTCTTGCGGGGGCTGTGCATTCCACTAATAGGTCAGATCATCTCCAGGGAGCCCTTGGGGTCAGTGGGAAGGAGGGTAAGAAATTAGGAGATGTGCAAGTGAAAAATGACAATGAGAAGGACAGAGAAGCCACCCAGAGGGAAGAGAATCAGTGTGCAGGGAAGAGCCCAGCAGCTCCTTGAGGGGCGCCGGCCCAGGCTGGACCCAACACGCACCCACCGTCCAATTACCTCCCTGTCTGCCCTTGAGAGAAAGCACGTCAGCCAGGGCACAGAGACGGACCACCCTTCCCTGTCCTCAGAGAACAGGCTCCGGGCCCACATGTCACAGCCCATGAGTCCAGGGCCATCCAGGGTTCCTTTCTAGGCCCTGAAGGGGGCGTCGCAGGCACACCATGGTGTCGGGCCCATTGACACACCTGTTGAGTTCGTAGATGTTCTCTATGTTCCCGAAGAGGGCGCTGACCTGTTCTGGCTTCAGCAGCCCAGGTGTGTCGATGATCTTCAAGAGGTAGTCCTGCATGCGGAGAGGCGGTCAGAACCCGGCTCCCGGCACAACATGCCCACTACCCGCCCCAGCCACACGTCGTTTCGGCACTGCCGTGACACCACTTCATAGACCGCCTACTGTGCTGGGTGAGACAGTGTCCACCTGGAACCCCAGAATGTGACTTTATTTGGACATAAGGTCTGTATGGATGCCATTAGTTAAGGATCTCAAGATGACTTCACATAGGATTCAGAGTGGGCCCCAAATCCAGTGGCTGCTGTCCTTTTAAGAGGAGAGGACAGGAAAACACACAGAGAAGAAGGTGATGGGAAGGTTCTGGGCCGTATCTCCTGTCAAAGACTGCCAGGACCCAGGAAGCTGGATGAGAGGCATGGAACTCCTACTCCTTCAGAGGCTGCGGAGGGATCCCACCCGGCCAACACCTTGATTTTGGACTTTGGCCTCCTGAACTGAGAGAGGATATATCTGCTGTCACTCGGCATGTGGCCATTTGTTAAGGCAGCCCTGGGAAACTAATCCACGCCCCAAGCCAGCGGGCAGAGGGCTTCCTCAGTGGCGGCCACATAGCTCCCCTTCCGTGTCCTTTACCTACAGTGGCCCTGCAAGGGAGGTGTGGCTTTTTCTTACAGAGGAGGAACCTGAGACCCCGCACAGCCAGGAGACAACAGGGGAGCGGATGCGGGGGGCCAGGCCCAGAGCCCATGTCTTCACCGCATTCAGTCTCTGTGGCCCAGGCTCTCTAGAGCCATCTTCCTAAACAGGCTGGGGCCCCACCCTCCCTATCAACGATGCTTACTCCTGCCAGCCCAAGCTACTGATCTGGCCCAAGGTCCTAGGGAAGCCTGAGGAGCCCGCAGCTTCCACAGGGCTGCGGGAGACCCCAGTCCTCCAACTACTCCACGGGAAGCATGTCTTCTGAGAGCTTCCCTCCCGGGTAAAGCAGGCTTCTGCTGGCACGCTGCGCCCGGGACCCCGGCACGCACCTCCACGATGCTCCGCAGATCCTGCACATACATGCGCTCCGTCTCCACGATCTCCCGCACCACTCGGCCCAGGTAGCTGAGCTTGTGGTGTGCAGACCCAGCCGCAGCTCGGCTGTTGAATGGGGAGAGGGGCCCCTTCACGTTCAGCCAGCTGCTGGAGTTGTTGTTGCTGTTGGGGAGATGCCGGCCTCTCGGGGAGCCTGCTCCATTCTCGGCAGGAGCCTCGGAGCCACTGGGCTCCTCCATGGCACTGCGACTGTCACGGGAGGAGCCCGAAGAGGAGGTAGTAGAGGTCAGGCTCACCGGCCGCTCCTGGCTGCCATCCTGGTGGAGAGAGGTGGACACGGGCATCCTGGCATTGCTGCCTGGGGAGGGCACCCCAGGGAGATTCTGCAACAAGACAGACAGATGAAGGGTCAACCCCAGAATGCCCAGAGAAAGAGAACAGGAGTGGTTGCCAGGGATGGGGACAAGTGGGGTGGGCATGTTTAGTGGGTCCAGAATTCAGTTTTAGAAGGTGAAAAGGTTCTGTGGAGAGACGGTGATGCTGGTTGCACAATGATATGAATGTACCTACTGCCATTGAACCGTACACTTAAAATGGTGAAGATGGTCCAACTTTATGCTATGTGTATTTATGTTTAACACAACAAAACAAAACTGAATCCCAAGAAAGACCGTGCCCTCAGACTCTATGAGCACTGATGAGGGTGCCCAAGTCCACTTGCCAGCCCAGTGGTCCAGGTACCTGCTGAGGAACTCATAGCCCAGCCCCACTGCCGGGGCACAGTATTTAAGTCTCTCAGAGCCACAGGTCCTCACCTGTAAAATGAGGATGGACACAGCCTGCCCCATGACTGTGTCCTCCTGGATGAGGCCACATCTGCTGTTTGTAAAGCTCTAAACATGATGCCTGGCACAGGGTTCGTGCTCCATACACCATCAATATGGTGATGATAATGGCAGTTGTTAAGAGGCACTTCCCAAGTGCTCACCTGTCCGTGGCCTGTGCTGGGGTCACTGTACAGGAATGGGCAAAGACCTGGTTCTTACAATGTTAAGACAAGACACATACCAGGGGTGATATTCTCCCTAGGACTGCAAAACCTCAGGGGCACCAGTGGCTTCACCACGAACCTGAAATCTTCTGAATTATTGACCGGCTGAGCCAGCATTATTCCCCCCACTCCCCAGCCCCACCCCAGCACCTGGTACAGGTTGCCCCTGACTCATCCCAGGCCCCAGGAAATTCCTCAGGGCTGAGCCATCAGTGAGTCTCTGTAAGCTCCTTTTAGCACAGCTGGGTGGAGGCAACAGAGAAAGCAGTAAACTGCACCCGGGTGAGGCAAACACAGCCTCAAGCGGACTTTATTCCCTAAGCAGATGGTGTGGCTCACAGGCAGGCCCACCTGGAGCATCCGGGGAAGGAAGGGTGGAGTGGCCAGACTATTTCCAGGCTGTAGCCTTTGAGAAGGACAGGGACACCTACGCAACACCCATGCTCACCCCACAGAAGCAGAGCTCACCAATGCCACTTTCCAGAGTACACATCTAACTGCTATTTCACAGAAAAGCAGTAAGTTCCTGGGCATTCCTCTCATCCCTACTGACCCAAGTCTTCTACCCCTAGTTTTAGAGCTCAGAAGCAACTAGACCACAGACATGGCCAAAGGGCAGAGGCTTGAGCTACATGGAGAAGGATCTAGAAGCTGCCATCACTCTGGGAATCCTTGGCACTGGCCCCTGGTTCTCTGTGCCTCTGCCTCAACCTAGAAACCCACACCCCTGGGTCTCTGGCTTTTGCAAATGTTCTCTCTGCTTCAGCACCACCTCCTCCCCATCCACCCCATACGGTACCATTCCCCAACCTATGTACATCCAATCTTTAGGTCTCTGATTAGACGCTGTCCCCTCCAGGAACCTTCCAATATCCCCCAAACCTGGGGAACCTTTCCGTGTTCTCTTACTACCTTCCAGGTTTCTCCCACTGTGGCACTCACCTGAGACAGTGTGACTAGTTTGAGACCCTCTGCCCTACACTATTAGTTACTTAAGAGCAGGAGTTATATAAAAATTAGCCAGGCATGGTGGTGGGTGCCTGGAATCCCAGCTACTCAGGAGGCTGAGGCAGGAGAATTGCTTGAACCTGGGAGGTAGAGGTTGCAGTGAGCCGACCGAGATCAAGCCATTGCGCTCCAGCCTGGGAGATAGAGCAAGACTCCGTCTCAAAAAAAAAAAAAAAAAAAAAAGAGCACAGGTCTTAAGGGCCAACTTCACAAATGAACAATGATGGTGAACAAATTGATGCTTTTACTGAGGTACAGATCAAGCACCTCAAGATTGACTTACCACTCGCTGCTGACCGAGCCGGGACCCTCTGGAACACAGCACTTTGTCACTGTGTCTCACTGGAGGGGGTCACCTCCAAGGTGCTCTATAGGAGCCTCTCGTCTTGCAGATGGGGACTCAGTGGCAGGCCAGTGCTTTCCCTCCACAGTGCAATGCAAGGAGGGCTAATTAACAAGATCATTTTGGTAAAGCTCTTTGAGCTTCTCAGAGGAAAGCCCCCTGGGAATTGTAAGGCTGCTGCTTTTTCCTCTCTCCTCAAAAGAGCCTTTACAATTAATCAGCTATGCCTTTTACAGAACCAGCAGGCAGGGCAACACCGTGTCATTCCAGCACTGACAGACAAAAACCCAAGCGCCACCCCAGCCCTTAACCTCCAGCCCTGTGGCACTCAGATGTTCTTCAGAGTGCACAGTCAGGCACTCCCCACCACCATCACAGCGGGGAACAAAGGGGCAGGGATTTATGGCCTAAGACCTTTCCCAGATCAGATCTGGGGTCAGCTTCTCTGGAGAAGCTAAATGGAAAAGGCCCCAGTCCCAAATGGATTTCACAGGCAGCCAGGTCACAGCCTTAAAGCAAAAGATTACTCACAGCCTACCCTTACACCAACGCACACACAATTAGGGAGATTTGTCTCTAAAAGGGACTTTCTGAGGGTCCCTCTTTGGGGATCCTACTGCAAGAGGGTGGCAAGAGAAGCATACTTCAAACCCAGAAACTAAAATGTCTTTTCTACTTGGAGAAGTTTTCTCTCTGATTTATCATAGGCTACCTGTCTGCAAACTAAGCTCATATTTTGAAAACAGTACCCGTGGCCCAAATCCTCCTAGCACTAAAACAAAGCGTAACAGCCAACTGCTAAAATGCTCTAAGTGCTATATACATATTAAAGTGACTAATCCCTTGCGACAACTCCAAAAGGTGGGTTCTCATTTTACACATGCAGGCACTGAGGCCACAGAAGTAGTAAGTGGTAGAGCCTGGACTTGAACTCAGGCACTGAGGCTCCAGAGTTCATGCTCTGCTGCCCACTGTCTCCCTAACGGACTACACACTAGCCAGGGCTATAAACAAAGGCTTGGTCACAGCCCTGGCTGCCATGGTTTTGCTTCAGCATAAGCTGCAGGAGACGTGAAGACCTGAAGGATCGGGGCTTACGACATGACACTCCGAAGGACTGAGTCAAGATTCCTTAGGGCGGTTTTTGGACCCGCTACTATGTGAACTTTGGCCATTCACTCTCCGGCAGAACAACATGGTAAAATACAGATCCCAGGTCAAAGGATTGCAGGTCACGGGTAAGCAGAAAGGAAAACGGAAAAAGCATGAGGTCACCGGGATTAGACTATAAAGTTCTTGGATGATGACAGCAGCCCTGTAGTGACCAGGAGACCCAGGATCACAAGGCTGTCTCTCCTGGGCAGGAGGACTTGCTGGAAAAGAACCAAGAGCCCAAGAAAGGGAGGGCTGAAGAACAAACGAGGCACTGAGTACAAAGCAGGACACCAGTGCAGACTGTCAGGAGGCACTGTTTGATGGTGACGGATAAGAGACATGGCACTCAATCGGAGTGCATTCTTGAGTGCATCCCACTCAATCGGGGTGCATTCTGGCCCAAAGAGACCGGATTGGAACCATTATGTGTGTGCAGCTCAGACTCCCACAGAGACGGCTAAAGTGCCTCGGCTGGTGCTCCCTGGGCGGGGCCAGCCTTTCCTTCCTACCCGAAGAGCATCACTCCATACTGTAAGATTCCTCCAAGCCAGGATGAGAACTGGGGTCTTCATACTCACCCTAGAAGACCTCATCTGCTAGGGAAGGAGGAGGCCAGAGAAAGAGGTGATGAGGCAGACAGCAGCCAAAGCCTCAAACCAGGTACCCACGCCTACCCCATCCTATCACACACAGGTCCCCAGTTCTCCTAAGTATGCCCCAGCCACGACCTCTTCCATCTTGCAACACCAATCAATCCAGTCAGTCATCAGTGAATCAGTCTTCTAGAAAACTCGCTTTCTTGGCCTGTAATCCCAGCACTTTGAGAGGCAGAGGCGGGAAGATCACTTGAGGTCAGGAGTTGAAGACCATCCAGGCCAACAAGATAAAACCCTGTCTCTACTAAAAATACAAAAATTAGCTGGGTGTGGTGGTGGGCACCTGTAATCCCAGCTACTCGGGGGTCTGAGGCAGAAGAATCACTTGAACCTGGGAGGTGGAGGTTTCAGTGAGCTGAGATCGCAACACTGTACTCCAGCTTGGGCGACAGTGCAAGGCTCTGTCTCAAACAAAAAAGAAAAAAAAAAGAAAACTCTCTCAAGTCCTACACTTGTGAAGCCTTCTTTGGGCAGGTCCCCAAAGACTTCATCTCTTTTTGAGACAGGGTCTCCCTCTGTCACCCAGGCTGGAGTGCAGTGGTACAATCACAGCTCATTGCAGCCTCGACCTCCGGGGCTCAAGCCATCCTCCTGCCTCAGCCTCCTAAAGTGATGGGATTAGCAGGTGTGAGCCACCACACCTAGCCAAGCTTCCTTTTTGATGGCCTAAGAAGCTCAGACACACACCTTTAAAGATCCAGGGGAAGAAGAGGGAGAGAGAGGTTTCTTTTTTTCCTCTAAATTTGAACCTAAACCACACCCTTCCTCTACCCACAGCTGTCCTCTGGAGGAGCTTCCCTGAATACTGCAGGTGCCAAGGCAGGCAGGCTGCAGCAGGCCCTGGATTCCCAGCACAGCAGGCTGGGGCCACATCCTTCCCTCCCCACTATGCCAGCACCATGCCCCATTCTGACCCAACAGGGAAAAAAAAGGCCACACCCTCATAACCCACAACAGCCTTGGAGTTCTGTCCTCAGGTCTCCTGTCACTGAGGCAATGGGACCCTGCTCCTCCCCATCCCACAGGGGCACTCACGGAGAGCCTTCTGGAACTCTGTATCTCTGGCCCCAGGGAATGCCCAGGAGTCAGCCCACTCCCACTGGCCCTCCCTCCCAGGCCAGTGAGCTGAGGAAAAGGCAGGGGAGGGGAAGGGACACTTGGGGGTGGGCA